ACTTCCCCGATAGCTATAATCTTCAAAAATGCAAATATAATATCAATCGACATTTTTCTGATGCCTTAATCTTGATCCCCATCCTTCCATTTATCCTTTTCTCAAACACCCCCTCTTTACTCTTACTCTCACTCTCTGTAACCCCTTGCCTGCTGATGGCACTCCCGCCTTGCTTGAGGTGAATACCTAAAAAAAAAACAGTGAAATGATGATGCAAGCAATACCTGCTTTAATTGACCTCTTCGATATAAAACACCCTAATTTTCTTAATTAGTGACAAGTTAATAGTAACCAAAACTACAACACTTTCTACACAATATAAAAAATTAATATTTATCATTTTTATACAAATGTTTCATTTACCGTTTTGTGTTAGCGTAAGGGGGTCTGCATATGAGAAATGCACATGAATTGAGTGTTTATGAATGTCAAATTAAAAACAAATTTAATTACGACTTTTATGTTTTTACTTGTCTTTATTTTCTTGTGTATTTGGAAAAGGGTGTTTGTGCCCATCTGAAATATTGTATTACTAATGGAGCGTTATATTATGTGTTGGATAATACTGCCACATATGCTCCTGCTGTATATTTAGAAATATACAGCATTAGTAAAATTATTGGTCCTGATCTGGCACCTCTGCTTCATTTACTTTTCCACCGTCGTAATATGGCTTCCCTGTGACTTGTCTACAAATATTTCCATGGTAATTGTTCGGGTGAGCTCTTACCTAGACTTCATGAATTTAAGCGCTGTACTATGATTAGCGGCAAGGTCTGATCAATTCATAGATGAATTGGTTACATATCACTGTAAGTTTTATGCTCACAGTTTCTTTTCTCGTACTTCTCGCGTGTGGAACTCTCTTTCTGCTCCATCTTTTCCAGCCAACTTCCATCTTCAAAAATTTAAATACAATTCTTCAATTGGTCTTGCTTCTTGATGTATATATTTTTTTTTATTCTTTCACGCTCATTAACCCTTCTTGTGTTTTCGTGGCTTTACTGCTTTGCATGGGGTGATATGATTTTAAAAAATACAGAAAATAGGCAGAAGTAGATGTTGTAGAGTAGTTTTCACAGTGGAGGCTTGTATTTCGCTAAGTCGGTCCTAAAAAGGTTCGACGTACAAAACGTTAGGAACTTGAAATAAGAGTTAATGACGCAGCAATCTAGTTGTGATGGTTGATACTTCAATGTCCGACATCGACTGACTCCACTGAGCTCAACTGGCGACTGCCAGTGATGGTGGAGAGTCACGTGTTTGGTTTTCGAGGCACTGAATTTTGTACTCATTCACACTCCAACCATAAACTATTTTTATCCCACTGTGGGAAGATTTTTTCTTTAATATTGGCAACGATCAATTGGTGTCTCTAGAATGGTTTTATTTTCATTTAATCCTGACTCACCGTAAGTGTGACTCTGAACTTAATGTTAGTATAGACGATGGTGTTGTTTTTACGGTATTAATTATTTATCAATATAAACGTCATGCGCATTGTATTTATAATATTTGTATTTTTCTTAGTGGTGATTTACAAAGTAATAGCATTTTTAATTTTCGATTAATTAGTTTTACCCAATAAAAATGTGAAAGCATGAAATCAATTTTTAATTCGTGACTTTTAAATCAAAAACTAAAAAAATCATATCTTGCAAAACATTACCAAGAAAATGCATATATATATATATATATATATATATATATATATATATATATAAACCTATTTACTATTTATATATATATATACCTATTATATATTAATATTATTTATATACATATTTACTATTAAAACCAATCTACTCCTCTTATATATATATATATATATATATATATATATATATAACAGAATATATATATATATATATAAACAGTATATATTCTGTTTATATATATATGATATATATATACATCATATATATGTATATATATATATATACATATATATATCCACACACACATATATATATATATATGATTTGCGCTACCAAATTTTATGACCGCCATGAAAAGACAAAATTTATTTTTATTACCATTTATGATGGTAATAGATAAAAAGTAAAACTGTAAAACGGGCTAAGCTAACCGGTTTCGAAACTCGCTCAACAGAGCTAAATCGACATTAATAAATTATAATAGAATTATCACTAAAAAAATATGTATTGAGGGTGGGAAATATTGCTTAGGTCGAAATTAGTTGGAGACCCAGTACGAAATCTCTCTGTTTACACAGAGGGCTTCAAAGATAAAATATAAATGGCTTCCAACACTTTTAAGTGGTAATTAGAATGTGACTTGCTAAGAATATTAAATAAGTCCACACTGAAATTAGTAGAATAATTATTAGGTGTTCTGCTATGGAAGACCCGTATGTATTGATCAGAATGTCTGAAGGAGTGTACTTAAGATTGCGGATTTTTGTTGGAACGTGTTGCTTTATTCTGGCATCCAGTCGTTCTCCCTATGTAGTGTGAGCCACAACTACATTTAAATGAATAAATTAAAGAACTATTATGATGTGGAGGGAGAATGTCCTTCCGTATGGATGGAAGGACAAGCTTGGCAGAAAAGACTACACGAGTGTTAGCAGCAAAGTAACAATGTCTAACCGCGAAGGATACCCGCTTAACATCACTGATATTACTCATCCAAGGAAGGCGCAGGCACACAGGACATCTTTGTGCTATAGCAGGTTTAACTTGTTGAATTCAGCAATTTTATTCTTAATTATTGATTGAATAATGCCCAACGGATAGGCATTGTTGAAGAGAGTAGTGTTAAAATAACTGATTTCATCATCCACCTTATCATAGGACAGATCATTAAAGTGTAAGGGTTTTAACTAAATTAATTTTACGTTTTACAGGACAAAAAGAGTCTCAACGGATATATAAACCAGTAAATGTCGGTTTAAGATAAACAAATGTAACAAAACCCGACGAAGATTGGCTAACCAAAACATCAAGAAAGGAAAGAGAAGAATCAATTTCCTTTTCTTGTGTAAATTTTAAAGTTGGATGCATATTATTAAGTTACGGGAAAAATGGTCCACTTCAATCTCGTTATCAAAGAAACAAAAGGTCTCATCAATGTAAGGGAAGTAAACGTCAGGTTTATTAATTTTCGATAACACACTCTCTTCATGGAATCCAACAAAAATGTTTGCTAAAATGGGGCCCAAAGGGGAACCTATCGAGATACCATCAACTTGCCTATAAATGAGGCCATCGAAAGTAAATCAACAGACACCTTGACAAATTTCATCAGTTCAACGAAAACGTCCTCAGGAATAACAGGATGATAAAACTGACTACAATATCGTCATCAACACATATATCAATAATCTCAGCAAGAGGAACGCAGGTAAATGGACAGGAAATTTCGTATTGTCTAAAAGTATGTTGCGGATAGAACTTAAAAGGTCCTCGGGTGTATAAAAATGCAATAAAAAGCTTAATCGAAATGCCTTGTTAGTCATCTTCAATTAAATCTTCTATAAATATACATTGTGTGCGTGGCATACGTCAATCTCGAGAAAGCTTAGATTTGCACCCAAAGAATTATGTCTCATCTGCTGGTGGTGCTACAGGAGTCCTCTCCAAGTCTCAGACCTGGGCAGAATTTAATGAGTGATCGACTGTTGCCCATACAACGCAACCCCCATCCACGATATTAATGTTGTCTAACGGAAAGCCAGTGACCAATGCAGCTTGACACCGGCGTCGTCGCAGTAGTTGCCAGAATGAATTTGAATATAACATCGGAGTGTCTTGACTCCGGCTGCAGATTTGTCCTCGGGGTTTACCCCAGAAAATGTATATTTATATTGGTGTTGGGGTGATGAATGAGAATGGAAAACAATATCCAAGGCAAAGATCCCCTGGGAAGTAATAAAACCTTCTACCAAAGTAATGTGAAATAAAAAATTTAAATCAAAATATTTCCTGCTTTTATGCCTATTTAGTTATTATGCATCTGTGTATAGTTAATTATATGAAAATTATGTTTATTCATTAGTTGGAAATAGAATAAATTAAAAATTTGTACGAATATTTGTTTCTCCCCACCCCACTGTATATAAAGAAAAATTATATAAAGATTATAATAAATTAATTATTATATAAATTAAATTAATATATTAATAATAAATAATTTTTGAATTTATCAATTATTCACATATTTTAAAATGGTTTATTATGAGTTATTTTACTAGTGCACATAAATATCTCATAGAATTTAGTTGTTAAGTACAAGTTTATTTTCATTAAATTAGTTTTACTTCAAAATAAAGCATATGCATTTATTATTTCTATAATACAATTCCTAAACTTATCTATGGGTAAAACATAAAATGTTTTTTTCATTGAATGAAAAGCATTAAGCTTAAAATGTAAATAACGCTTGAGAAACACTGATTTCAACTCTAGAAATATCTTATCTTCTAAAAACGCATGCATTATTTCACAAAGGAAAGATAAGAATACTCGACTTATAGAAAAAACTTATACAATAAGGATAATGATTTGTTTCGGAATTTCAAACAATCCGTCCTCTTTATTATCGTAAATTCCTCTTTTCCCCTGTATATACACAGACTGATACCGATAAATACACCCACAGGTATATACACAGACTGATACCGATAAATACACCCACAGGTATACACTCGTTAAATACACCAACATGCGGACACACGTGTATATCGAAACTTTTTCTTTTGTGTGTCTTTTTTTCAGGTGTATAATGGTACGCTTGTTCAGTTTGTGTCCGGATGAGTAACACTTTCACCTGATATTTGATTTGATCTTTCTCCGCTAATTTCCTGAGTCATTCTTGATTCCTTCATTCTTCACACCACTGCATCTCGCAACAACAATTACCATTTTCCTTCCCTTCCATTAAACTTCTTTTGATTCTCTTTCTCTCAGTTCATGAACATTGCAAATAACGATTGCATTTAGTGTAACTATAAATAGACATTCTGGCTCTAATTGCGCATGCGCAGTTCAGTACGCTTCGGAAGTCTGTCTTTGAAAACGATCGATAGGATTGTGTGGACATTTGTTGAGTTAAATCGTCTGCTTTTGTCTTCATTGTGGTCCCATTACCGATTCCGAACTCTAGTCCTGATTTTCAATTTAGATTTCTTTTGGATGAAAAAAGTAATCAGTGAAACTGGTTAGTGATCAATTAATCCGTTGTTTTCTTTCGAACTCTCTCTCTCCTCTCTCTCCCATTCTCTCTCTCTTTATCTTTACCCCCTCTCTCTTATCTCTCTTTCTCTTTCTCTTTCTCTCCCTTTCTCTTTCTTTCTATCGCTTTCTCTCACTTTCTCTTGCTCTCTCTCTCCCTTTTTCTTTCTCTCCCTTTATTTTTTCTCCCCCCTCACTTTATTTCGCTCCATTTCTCTTTTTCTCTTTCTCTTCCTCTTTCTTTTTCTCACTCTCTCTCTCTTTCTCTCTCTCTCTCTCTCTCTCTCTCTCTCTCTCTCATTGCCTCAAACTCTTTCTATATCCTATTCCTTTCAAATTAACCAAGACAACGTTGAGTTTCAAATAGACCTTTGGTTTGGTTTGGTTTGGCTTGGTTTGTTGTTTTTTTACGACTTATCAACCGTTGTGTGTTATTTAAAATCAAAACATATTTGGGGTTGTAAGAATAAGTCTTTTTCATTTGTTTTTTTTTTTTTGTTTGTTTGTGTTTTTTTGGGGGGGGTTGACTTATTGATATGCATACATAATTATATGTATTTCGTAAAATGGTATTTTCGTATAATTTCATGTAGGAACATTTGATGCTCACAATACAGATTAAGGGGGAGAGTGATAAACAATGAAGAATGTTCAGAAGAATCACATAAACAATGTATAACCTTCCTAGCGAACTTATTATGAGCTACAAAACAAAGGGAATTGTGGAGAGCCATGATCGCCAACGTCTTGAATGGACGCGACACATAGAAGAATGTTAAGATTCTGAGGAAAACAACTCATAACCTACAGTACAAAAATAAGTAAATGAATGTAGCAACTAGGTTTAAGAGATATAACACAAAGACAAAATTTACTAAGAGATAGAAAGGACAGGAAATAGTCGAGAGCCATGATCGCCAACGTCCTGAAGAGACGCGGGACACAGAAGAAGAATATTCACAAAGTGAGGAAAACAACTCATAACCTACTTAGTAAATGGATGTCAGAACAAGGTTTAGGAGAGATAACAAAAAGACAAAATTTATTAAGAGCTACAAAGGAGAGGAAATTGTGGAGATCCATGATCGCCTATGCCCTGAATAGAAACGGTACTGAAAGAAGATCTGTTAGGACAGATTGAAGGCAAGAGGGATAGAGGAAAACAACGCATAACCTACTTAGTGAGCTTGAGTAAATGGATGTCGGAACATGGTTTAGGAGAGATAACAAAAAGACATAATTTATTAAGAGCTACAAATGAGAGGAAATTGTGGAGAGCCATGATCACCTACATCCTGAAGGGAAAGTGCGCATAGAAAAGCGTTAATTTCAAAGGATTTTAAAAGAAAAGAATCTTCATAGAAGCAGAAGTTTCCGAAAAATGAAGAAAACAACGTATAATCTTCGCAACGATCTTGTGATCTCTGCGAAGGTTATGCGTTGTTTTCTTCATGGACGTCAGAACAAGATTTAGATGTGTTAACAGAAAAACAAAAATTATTAAGAGCTACAAAGGACAGGAAATTGTGGAGAGCCATGATCGCCGAAGTCCTTAAGGGACCCGGTACATAGAAAAAAGAATTATTCCGTGCATATGCCTTTTTACATCCTTTTTTCATTTGCTTCTACTTCTACTTTTCAAGGTCCGGCCCGCGTCGAAGAATTGTTGATGGAGGTTAACGAAAAGGTGCGACGCCTTGAAATTAAGTACAAAGCAAAATCCGACGCCAAAAAGGTTTGTTTTATTCTCTGTGTCGTTCCTTGATATGATCAGAATTTAGATTCGCTATCACCGTTGCTTGTAAAGTTATATCTTATTCAATGAATAACTGATGAATTATTTGAATTTTGAGATGAAGAAATTTAGAATTCCATTTAAAAAATAAAGCCTGTAAAAAGGAATGTTTTAAATTAATATACGACCAAAACTAAAATTCTTTTGGACCAAAAAAAAACTTAATGCTTTCAATATAATTATGTAACAATAATGTAATGATATTCCGCAGACAAATCTATGGTTTATGTTATCTCATCTCATTGCATGGTTACGAGGGCACCTCGAGGCTGTGTAGTGGTTAGCAAGAATGTATTGCTCGAACAATTACGAATGAGTTCGATCCTCACTTGGTGCCCCTTAATTTCGGCCTTGTGCCACATCTGAGCTACACTTGGGAAATCATTATTGCATGATTACGAACTATAAACATAAACTGAGCTTGAAATATTGTGTAATCGTCTCTAATTTTTTGTAAAATACTTGGATGATATAATGACTAATTTGCAGTGTAAAAAGCCATTTTCGATTTTTTTGTTGAATACCCCCCTCCTCCGCTAAACGTGTCATATAGCCTTGAAAATTTTTTCATTTATTTTCTGTTACTTCGACTTTAACATTACACGCCATAGTTTTTATTGCTTCCCAGATATATTCAATCCTCTTTTCTATTGGTATATAAATCGGTTTTAAGTTTTCTATTTGATTAATGTCTGAAGCGAATAGTAGCTACTCCATTAATTTAATTTCTTTGTAACGTTTCTCTTAGTAAAATATGACGGAGCATTGTCTTCCACGAATATAATCAAAGCTTAAAGTTTCTTAGTTGTGATCTGTGTCACTGAAAAATCTTTAAGAACTTTCTTCTCACTTTTCACAATGAAAGAGTGAAATAACTTTCCATAATGTCATCTCTATATGCAGTTTTTCACTGACATCTCATTTTCTTTTCAGATCCGATACGAATTCGTTCGCATGCCTGGCGAGAAACCTGGCCACGCCGTTCTGGAAGTTGCCAAGCAGTCCGGCGCCATTTTCATTGTGACAGGAACCCGTGGCATGGGCAAGCTACGGCGAACAGTGATGGGTAGCGTCAGTGACTACATACTCCATCATTCCCCCGTACCGGTTTTGATATGTCGACACAAGGAGAAGGACAACCGTTGAGTAGCTAAGAGGTCTCCCAGATAGCCTATTCGGCGCCCATGGGTCCTCTTCCCATTCTGGAGAGAGAAAGATGCCCGGATGGACCACTGATCTACTACATAACTGCCACAGGATGTACACTATTGATGCCCGGATATAGACTCTGAATGGACGCTATAATGGCGTCTGATATTTTCATTCTCCTCTGCACTTCTTCCCTCTTTACTAAAACCCTGCTATAATGTTCAGATTTTCTCGATTCAATTAACAATAACGATAACAATAATTATAATAATCTTGTGAACTCTATTCTCGAACAAGTCAGTCCAGTGATATTAAGTCGATTTAAAATAATTTGTTTCTCTCTCTATTTTTCTTTATTCTCTCTCTCTCTCTCTCTCTCTCTCTCTCTCTCTCTCTCTCTCTCTCTCTCTCTCTTGCTTTTTCATTTTTGTTTACCCTGTTTTGTTTTAGTATTTTTTTTTTATTTAGGGGTCAATCAGAAATGTCGATTGGCCCCAAAAGGATTCAATAAATTTACGTACAATTATATCAAGAGGAAAATAAGAGAAATAAAACAATGAGAAGGATAGAAATAAAAGCGTTTCGTTTTTTGATGTGCGAGGGGGGTACTGGAAACTTTTCGGCCCACCCGTCCCCCAAAAGCAGTATTCAGATGTATGGTCATTAAAATGCCTAATTTGAAAAATGATTTGGACCGAAAACTTTTAAACAGTCCCGCATGTATATCTATAGCAAAACTTACACTAATATTAAAGAAAATGAAAAGGCATTTGTTTTTCATTTTTGTGAAGTATCCGTGTGTAGCACTGTATGTATGAGTATATACATGTATTTTAACATACATACACATACATACATACATACATACATACATACATATATATATATATATATGTGTGTGTGTGTGTGTGTATATTTCGACAGCAACCTTTCTTTTATACATCTTTCATTAAATATGGCAAACAAGGATAATTTAATTATTTTTTTTAATCAGTTTTTCCAGCATCCTTACGTTTTTCTGTTTTGAAAAAGGCTAAAGAAGTGGCCTAAAGAACTTGGGACAATTTAAGAATGGTGAAACAACTAAATAAGAAATTAAATCTTCTTTGTCTTCCGTATTTAATGAAAGATATATATATATGTATGTATGTGTGTGCGTGTGTGTGTGAAAGATTGTGGAAAAGGTTACTTTAAAAGAATGCGTTCCATAATTTTCAAAGCCATATAGCGTGATCATGAAACTCGAGTCATGACTAGAGCCGTCCTTTCATAGGATTTAACGTTGTTAAGCGTTTTTTTTTTTGCTCGGTCTAGGCAATCTAGGTTTCGAGCACTTTACTGAGTAAGTAAATTTGCCTTTAGGCCTTTTTTCTCTTTCTTTTTTCAGTATTGTCGTCTTTATTCGAAACTGTATCTGGATAAGGGTTTTAGGTATTGTCAAGTTGTCCGCTGGTTCTATCAACGGTTTTTGTTTTTCTTTAATACATATAGTCATTTTGAAAACTTCACACCTTGGCACGTTCTGCTAACCCGAGCCCCCGTAAACATAGAAATTTTCTGACGCCAGTTCATCGGTGGTACGTGTCAGCGTGTGTTTTCCTAATTGTTTTAATACATTTACCGTTCCGTCGGATGATCATTTAACTTTACTTATATTTACTATAAGTGCATATAATTTAACCTCATTTACCGTAAAGTTTCTACTAGTGTTTTTGTTGTTGTTATTGTTTTTTAAGCCAGTCGTCAATTTGAATAACGGTATAACCACCTTGGAATTTCTTCAGTCGGCCTTAGTCTTAATACGGAAGATTTTTTTTTGTAGTTCCCGAGACTAAATCATAAAAGAATGAATTGTTAACGTATAATCTCGCTCCACAAAATAAAAATTATCTAACAGAAAATAAATATTTCATTCGTTTTTTTTTAATTAATTTTTGTTTAAATATTTTCATTTAAACCTGATTGCAAATATTTTAAGATTGCTGAGTTGTATCTAATTGTTTTCAGTTTACCTATTTTCACCATCTTTTTTTTTCGTTTATACAGCAAGATTTTTTTTTATTGTTGATTAATTTTGACGATTTAACGACTTGATTTTAACTTGTATTTTAAACTTTGTTGTGAATGTTTTTCATTGGATGATTTGCAATTTTATATTCCTTCAAATGTTTTTTTTATTATTATTATTATTCCTTCCTGTTGTTATTCCTACTCTAAAACACCAGACGTAATATTGATATATTATATTATCGGAAATGGTTATTTTACCGAACCCAGTAAAACATGCTTTTAAGCTAATTTTATCGGTCTCGGTAAAATAGAACCCCAGGCTATTTTGTCGGTAAATATTTTTATTATTATTACGAAAGCAGATAATGTTAAAAATAACAACACACAAATTTAACACAGACATTTATTTTCATCATCAATTGTTTAAGAGAATTTAAAATCTGTTCCACCATCAATTTTAAAACAAAAATCATTTATTCATCACCAATTATTAAAAGAAATATAGAAGTCTCTGAATATTTTAAGCACTTCAGGCATCTCTATAAAATTCCCAAACTTGCCCTTCAAGTGCACCCACTGTAGACAACAGTCACAGAACACAATCCATGTTGTTCAAGTCCTGCCTACACAGTTCACACAACCACTGCGCTGACGATCTCAAATGTAATATATTCTTAGTTCTAAAACACTATATTTACCGGCAAAATAACCTTGGCTACTATTTTACCGGGACCGGCAAACTACCCAGCTCTTATATTATATCTATTTTCAACTACTATTTTTTTCTTCAACTACGACTCAAGAAAAGTAATATAAAATAAAAATTAATATGAATTTTCGAAAATTTGCAGATATTAGCACAAAACAATTTATTCGAAAATTTGAAAGATTAATACAAAAAATGAATAGACAGAACTTGTCCATATTATTTTTTTTAAATGTTTCAGAGAATTCTTACTGACAAAATACACCATATATATATATATATATATATATGTGTGTGTGTGTGTGTGTATGTGTGTGTGTGTGAATAACGACAGAATGAAAACTTATCTAAGATAAATTTTCCTTTTGTCTCTTTTCACATTGTCCTTTTACAGATATACTCTATGTGAAATATTTACACATGTATTTAAATATAAATAGGTTTATGAATGTGTTTTTTCTTTCTTTCGGTAATGAGTGCTAAATCTTTATAGAAATTTATTAGATTAACTGTATTTTACGACAGTTAGTATCTTGGGACGAACAAGTTTACGAATCTCCAAAATAACTACATCAGTTTTTTGCAAGTTGCTAGCAACCCAGACAGCCATGTTTTTGTGAGTCTTACAAGCCTCACACGAATTGTCTTTTGCATTTCTTTCTTTTTATTCATTTTGTTTGCGACATTTATGTTTTTACTTTTCTCTTTCTTTCTTCTTTCTTTTTTTTCTGCATTATTTCTTTGCATTTCTTTTCCTCTTTTCTTCCCTTAGTTCCTTATTTCATAATCTTCGCTTTCTTTTTTTTATCCTCTTATCCCTCTTTCATTTCCCAATAATTTTTATACAATCCGAGCATCTCTATGTTCTTTTTACTCTTTCTCTCTCACTCAATTACTCATTCCCTCTCACTCTCTCCGTCTCGCTTGCTCTTTATTTAATTCTCTCTCTTTCTCTCTCTCTCTATTACAGATTTTTCTCTTTTTATTTTTCAGTCTCTTTGTCTGTTTCACACTTTCTCCTTCATTCTTTCTATTTTTTTCCCTCGTTGCCTCTCTTACTCTTATTTTCTCTATATAACTAACTCACCTTATTTTTCTCACACACTTACTTTCTTTCACTCTCTCTGTCTCTGTCTCTCTCTCTTTCTCTCTCTGTGTCTCTGTCTCTTTTACACTCTCTACCTCTCTGTCTCTGTTTGTCTGTCTGTTTCTCTTTTTTCTCTCTCTCTCTCTCTCTCTCTACGTTTCTCTCTTGGACAGGGTTTTTTCCTTTCTCTTTCATTTCTTCAAATATGCATCGTTAATTGACAAACAAAAACACGCACCTTTCACATACGCATACACATAAAAATAAGTTAACTCCAAATTATTTCAAATATTAAATAAACGCCAAATCAAAAACATGTGAACATGCAATAACATTTTTGACAAGATGTGGTAAACATTTATGATACTTACAAAACCAATTAAACAGATACGCAAAACTGCACATACACTTATTTTTCTTGCATAAAATTATGTAACACAAATCCTAAAATTACACTTCGCAAACATTTGTATTCGTATGCACATAAAGCAATCATAAGTTCACCAATGCAATTTGTAAACAAAATTACGCGTTACTTTTGCTAGTAAATCTGTTCCGTCGGTTCGCATGTGTGTCTTACAGGATAATTTGAGTACGAAGAAGTTAGACGCCTATTGAAAAATATTGATCATTATTGTGTGCGATATTTTGTATACGAAGAAGTTAGACGCCTATAAAAGAAATGCATTAATCATCGTATGTAAAATATGAAAATATGCTTCTTTCTACAAGGGAAAAAACATATCCCAGACCGCCGCCTTAATGCAAATATTAGATAGCTTTTCAGTGTATATGACCATATACACACACATATATATATATATATATATATATATATATATATATATATATATATATATGTGTGTGTGTGTGTGTGTGTGTGTGTGTGTGTGTGTGTGTGTGTTATACGCGGGTTGTGACTAATGTAATATGGCCTTTTGCATCTTATATATTCTGCACTATAATTTTGTCCGTATAATAATTTTGCACTATGCTTTACAAATGACTGAAAAATCAAATTCCCTATTTTCCTATTCAATACTGTCTATCTTTCCACAAAAAAATTTGAATAGAATTAAAGAGGAGTGACATTCTAATTGTGTCATTTTAAGCTTATCAATTTGGAATTTTTTTATTCAACGCAATGTTTAGTTGTCGATATGGTAAGATAGGCTGTTAAATATAGAAAGAAAAGTATGCAGAAACATTGAAAAATACACCTAGAATTCGTGTGTCCTCATGCGTGTATATATATATATATATATATATATATATATATAGGTGTGTGTGTTCCTGCAGTTAATCAATTAACACAACAGTGAACATTAAATTCAACTGTTATAAAATTATGAATACTAAAAGTGGCAGGTTGTTTATATATATATATATATATATATATATATAGAATCAACCGTCAGGCGACTAGGTATTCGGTATTTTTCTTCACTATTTATATATAAGGGTCAGTTCTGCATTGTGGGTAGTCCATTCTGACGTTTATTTTGGCGCGAGTGGTTTGTTGATTATTTATTTGGGTTAATTTATTTTACTTGTTATGTATTTATTTTCTTAGTATTTTACATTTTACATTTATTTATTCTTTTAAGTTTTCGATGTTTTATTAACGTAGTAAAAATTTTAGATTAGTTCAAATCGTTTATTTAATAGATTGTTTTGTTCTGGGAAGGTATTTAAAGCTATTTTTACTTGTGTTTGCTTATTTATTTTTTATTTTATTTATTCTAACCGTTATTTTAGCGGAAGTGTTTTGTTAATTTATTTTTTTACTTGGATTAATTTATTTTACTTGTTTTTTCTTATTTATTTTTTATTTTGTATATTTTTATTTATTATTTTCTGTTTACGATTTTTAAGTAACGTAGTAAAAAAATTTTGATCGTTTATATAGCAGTTATAGCTATTTTTTTGGATTGATTGTTGTAGTCTATTCTTACGGCTAATTTGGAGGGGTTGGTTTGTTAATCTGCTTATTATTTACTTACTTTATTAATGTATTTGGATTGATTATTTTTACTTGTTTTTCTTATTTTTTTATTTTTTATTTGTATTTTCATTTTTTTATTTTTCATCTATTATAACGGGAGTGGTTTGTTAATTTATCTATTATTTGTTTGGGTTGATTTATTTTACTTGTTTTTATTATTTTGTTTATTTTTATTTATTCTTTTCAGTTTTCGATTTTTAAGTAACGTAGTAAAAATTTGTTTTCATGTCTCCATTTTGAGATGAGTTCTGATCGTTTATTTAGTAGTTTATTTTGGTCTGGCAAGGTTATAATAGCTATTTTTTTCCTCCAAGCAAAGTTTGCAGGTTTTGGATTAATTGTTGTCGGGTGATGATCTTTTCCTTATTTTCCATGATATTTTTGGTGTGGTTTGCGTTTGGTTTTTAATTTCCCAGATATACTTAGAAAGCATTGTGCTGTTCGTGTATTTATTTGAAAAAAAGATTTTGCGTGCGTAGTTTCTTTGTTTCCAGGGTCCTTCAGTTAATCCTATGTATATTTTTTCTTAAGTATCTTGTTATTTTACCATGTCTTGGTATATTACGTTGTTTTGTAAGCAATTACTGTTTAAGGGACATTCATTCTTTATTCTGCAGTTACACGTGGGTTTAATTTGTTGGGGTGTTTTGTTGATAGTTTTCCATTAAACCACCTGAAAAACGCAAAACATCTTTCACAAATACGAAACAAAAAAAAACAAGTAAAAATAATCAATCCAAATAAATAAATAAAATAATAAACAAATTAAAACACTGACCCCGTCAAAATAACAGTTAAAATAGACTATAGCAATCAATCCAAAAATTGGACGAAAAATAGCTTTAATTACCTTCCCAGGCCAAAACAAACTATTAAATATACGATCTGAACTAATCTCAAACATTTTTACAGCGTTAATAAAACATCGAAAACCGAAGAGAATAAATAAATATATGAAATAAAAATAAAAATAAATGAATAACAAGTAAAATAAATTAAGCTAAATAAATAAATAAACAAACCACTCCCGCCAAAATAACCGTCAGAATGGACTACTCACAATGTACAACAAACCCGTATATATAAATAGTCAAGAAAAAGCCAACACACGTGGCCTGATGATTGCGTCTGTCGCCTCTGAATGTTGAATTCACTGTTCACTTTTATATTTAGATACGCTCTATCTCTGAGCACTTTATCACATAAATATAGCACACATTAAAACTATAATTCAATATATAATATATATATATATATATATATATATATATATATATATATATATATATTACGTTCATCACCAACTATACTGAGCTTATATACAAATATTTATGTATTCGGATCATTATAGAATTTAGATAATAGTGCAAGATTGTTTTCTAAAATCTTAACTACATTACTTTTATAATTATCATTAGGTCTATACAAAATTTTTTTGAAAAAACGGGTTTCTACTGCGTATTCGGTGTTTAGTTTACAAAGATGACGCTTGAAAGATTTGCACAAACCTAACACGTGTATTTCTGTTGGCTGTGTCTGATTCCCTCTTTAAAGCGGGTAATACAATATACTTGCAAATTTGTCACCTCTTAACTCACTCTGCTCTCATTCCTTGCCGAATATACTTAGGTATATAGTAAATATATTATTAAATATTTTTTCACTCCAATGCTCTTCTTTCTTTCTTCTCGCTTTCTCCCCACTTCCTTCTCTCTGCCTTATAACTTTCACACCCCCTCACTCACTCATTCGCCTTATATTTTAAATACCATTCAAATAAGCTTTCTTTTTTGATCTTATATTTACTCATCTTCTTCTTCATCTGCCTTCCTCTATGTAACTTTCTCTCCGACTCTATTTGTCATTAACTACGTATTTTCTCTCTTCCACACTTTATTTCTTTTTCCTTACCTTTCTTCCTACTCTACCACTCTTCCTTTTTTCCTACTCTCTCTACCACTCTCCTCTTCCTCCGACTCCCTATAGCACTCTTACGTTCTTTCTACTCTCTATACCAATTCCTTTCGTCCTACTCTCTACACCACACTCCCTTTCTTCCCACTCTCTCCCCCACTCTTCTCTTCTAACTACTTACTCACTCTTCCTTTTTCTTACTCTCTCTACCACTCTGCTCTTCCTCCGACTCACTATACCACTCTTCCGTTCTTTCTATATCTATCACTCTTTCTTTCTTCCTACTCTCTATACCACTCTCCCTTTCTTCCTACTCTCTCTTCCTTTCTTTCTACTCCATATCACAGTCTTCCTTTCTTCCTAATCTTTCTCATCGTCTTCTTTTCTTCCTCCTCTCTCTCGCATTCTTCCTTTCTTTTTACTCTCTCTCCCAATCTTCTTTCTTACTACTCCTTCACTCTTCATTTTTACCTATTCTCACCCCCACTCTTGCTTTCTTCTTACTCTTTCCGCCACTCATCCGGAAATTTATTTTCCCCTCAATCATTCAGCTTCCCTAATTTTCTCCAATATTCTCATTCTTGTTTGTGCTATGAATTCTCCTCTTTTCCACACACTCTCTTTATTTCTCCCTTTTTGTCAGCCTTACTCCTCACTTCTTCCTCTCCTCTTCAACGTTCCTTTTCTCTTCCACTCGCTTTATATCGCATAGTCTATCAATCTATATATTTTTCTCCAATAATATTTGTCTTTCTTTTTCCACCATCTCTCTCATACTCTTGAAGTCTTTTGTATCTCTTTAATAATCTCTCACATATTCTCTCGCACTCCTTCAGTCACCTGCCCCTTTCTTCACTCTTAAATGATTCTGACGACTTATACGATGGTATATAGATGATCATATTCAAATATTTGTATATATCTACAAGAGCGGATGTGCATTCTTATATATATATATATATATATATATATATATATATATGGGAAAACGATGTATACATTTTTTATTAAGAGCAATTCTAGGGAAAAGAAACTATGAAAAAGTGTAATAAGTTTACGTTTCAAGAATTTCATCATTTAGGACTTCATCAGATTAAAGTGATGTTTATGTGCGACTACGCATGCGCGCAAACGAGAAGGGCGCTGAGAATTTAAAATTTAATTAATTCTTGATATTTGTTTCGGGCACATAGTCGAGCCGATTTCATTTAATTTAATTTCTTTTTTTTTATTTTTGTTTATATTACTATCCCTTTTGTTTATATATATATATATATATATATATATATATATACATATATATATATATATATATATATATATATATATATATATATATATATATATATATATATGGATTTGTTAAGTCTAATGTAATATGGCCTTTAGCATTTTGCACTATAATTTTGTCCGTATAATTTTGCACTATGCTTTTCAAATGATTGAAAAACCAACCTCCCTCTTTTTCTATTCAATACTCGCTACCCTTTCGCAAAAATTATAGTATTAAGGAGTGACATGGGAAGATGCAGCAATGTAAACATCACTTTAGATTATGTTCAGAAGGACGAAAGATGTCATACGAAAACATTTCCACTTTGCCATAGTTTTTTCCCATATATATATATATATATATATATATATATATATATATATATATATATTGAATCTGTATATGCCTTCGTAAGTGTGCGTCAGTATATATATATATATATAATAATACTTTCAAGTCGAACACGACTTCTGCTCGAATGTTCACAGTAATATCTGTTCTACAAAATGGCGTGATGATAAACATATCTTTAACGTAAAGAGAATAAATGTTCAAATAAATTTCAAAAAATATTTAGCAAATATAACTTGTTTAAAAGTCTTCGTGTTTTGATTTTGGTGAACACTTTCAAAATTTCAGTGACCTGACGGATGGAGGAATCATTTCCAGGCGTCCAAATTAAGATAAGCATGAAAACCACATCTATGTCTGTCCACGTTTATCACTTTTCTACAATATTCAGAGTCCGTCGTCTTAACATGAATACTGATGTCAATGAATATTGACGTGCAAAACTTTTAGGACAACTCCATAAAATGATTATACACCTTTATTTTATTAAGGAGTTAATACTGTTTAGCAGTATGCTTTTATCATCAGTAGAAGTGAACCTGGAGGAATGGAAAATAAGTTGTCGCGTTTTCGCGGGTGTCGTGTGACAGACGTTGACAACGCTTGAAGCTGAAGGCCATGTAAATTTATTGCGTAAAGGAACAACTCAACACAGCCGTCTGAGCATCGAGACAACTCAGAACCGATACAACTCAGCACCAGAAAAATATAACTTAATAGAAGTAATTTATTAAGGATTTAAACTTTAATTAGCGAATATTTTTTTAATTATTTTTACTAAAGTAAATAGTAAAGAAATTTATTTTTTAATAAAGTAAAAATATTCACTAATTAATGCTTTAATCCTTAATAAATTCCTTTTATTCGGTTATAAAAATGTTGTTTTTCTGGTGCTGTGTTGTCTCGGTTCTGAGTTGTCTTAGTCCTCTGTTGTCCCAGCGCTCATTCAGCTGTTTTCAGTCAACGGTGTTGTGTTGACGATGTTGAGTTGTTCTGCACCCAAATTATTGGACCAATGAAAGATCTGAAATGGTAAAGTCATGATAATATGCAAATTTCTAAGTAGAAATTGTTCCAGTTTATTAACGCTTATGTAAGATTCTTTGACAAGCAATTGAACACCAACTTACTTTTTTTACACGAAAATCGTGGCTAAAATTTCTGCTGAAACAAAGATGAACGTTGTAACTTTAAAAGGGAAGATGACTCAACCAGAGAGAGAAAGGTGGCTGGAAAATTTCAGAAACAGGGTTCAAATCACCCTAAAGACGTTTGTCGTTAGTGGAAATGTTTTAAGGGCAAAGATAACATAGATGGATCAAAGATAGATGAATAAAAGATTATGAGAAACTCGTTTGGTAATCCAAAATTAACATCCAGACAAGTTAGGTGTGAATGTAGTTTTAAATGTTTCAGATGATACACTACTCGGAATATTACAAAAAAACGGATGCATTTCAGCGAAAAAAACATTAACATAAAAACATCGGAATAAAAGATTGAAGAGGTGAAAAGAAGATCTAACATAGGATCCTGGAAAGTTGCAAAATATAATTTCAATGATGAAGGCAAAATAGAATCACATTCTAATGCAAGAGAATATGTAAGAAAACAAGTGTTAGAAAGGAATAATTCAAGATACACTGCAGAGACGGTAAAGTCTGGTAATAAACAAATAATGGTGTGTGGTTACATCAAAAGTGACGGTAGTAGAAAATTGGTAATGGTTGATGGAAACCTAAACCGCGAAAACTTTCAACTATATTAGTTAATATTTAACAGCCACCCCCACGAGAGATGTATGTGACACAAGGCCGAGTTTACCGTGAGTTCTCCGAGCCCGTAGTCTCGGCCAAAAATATTCCCTTAGAACCCGCATAAACCGGTTCAGGGTCTGTCTACATCCCCGGACGAAGTTTTACCCTTCAGCCAAGCATCGTCCAGGTTCCGCTCTGCTAAAGGCAGAGAGTACGACAGCACAGTGCGAACAGATCTATTCGACTATATTAGTTTACTACGGTTTAATCTTCTGCCAGATTATGAAGATAGAACACATGTTCAACGTGGCGGTGTTCCTTGCCACACATCACGAGCAATAAAAAGGTTCCTTGTGAATGAAGATTTTCAACTTTTAGAAGACTGTCCAGGAAAAGATCCCGGCCTCAATACAAGTGTACCATTGTGGTGGGAACAGAAGAAACAAACGTTCCAAGGGAAACCACGGAATTTCCACGGGTTTTAGGATTACTGCCAAGAAGAATAGGAAAAAAATTCCCAGTAATTCTGAATCTCTTTCCTTTCAATGCCACATCGAATTGAGGCCATTATTCGAGCCAAACGCAGCCACATTAAATACTAATTCCATATTTTGACATTTTGTAATAATAAAGATCACTTTTTGAAGAGCAAATTTCCTTTTTAACTTAAGAAAAGAACTAAAAAGTAGCCCAATATTTTTGCAAATACTTTTTTTTTCAGAATTACTATACTTAAGATGCTCCACCATCCACCATACAGCATTAAGGAAAATGCATATTTTTCTGGCTCTCAACTATCATAAAATGTCCTGAGAAAAGCATAATGCTAATAACTCTCGATTTGGGAATAAAATGAGCAAAAGTAATTAATTTACCAAGATGGCTCAAAAAATGTTTCCTGCCATTGTATTTCCTGTCTTTTGCTGCTTCATTATTTTTAGGTCTAATTTCTCGCGGGCAATGGATTGAGTGGTTGGGTTTTATCATAAAATTAGTCCTACAACCGATAGCGATATAAGCCGCAAATAATATAAATACAGAAAAGAACACGGAACACAAATTGAAAGTTAATGGGAATATTATTGAAATTCTTCTATACAAATACTATTGAAATAATAGTTCTAGTTGCAAATTGTTCTGTTTGCGCCTATATATTATAATGAAACAATACAAGTCCACTTAACTGAAGTGTTAGGTTTTGCAGAATGGTTTGGCTTACGTACTAATATAGTACGGCTCTCATGTCAAAACTGCAGGTAGAATCAAAGACGACTTTGATGTCGTGTGACTTGCAAATCTCGACAGAAAAGAGGAAGAGAAACAGCAGAAAATAGCTTCCTTTATAATTTGCGCCAACATATTCTGGCAAGTTATTAGTTGGTTTGACGCTATACGGGTAGAGAGTGCATTTGACCCAGGGCGATAAATCACCTACGTAACATATTTTTCTTATAGACTAAGTGTGGTCGTAGGTTCACTGTACAGCTGAGCACCTGGCTAGTTCTCACCACATAACCGGGGAAGTATTTATTTATATGGAACACAGGTTGGATCACAGCAGGGGTTCTTTCAATTCGCCTTGGTCACGGACACGTGATCGTTTTCTCGTTAACTTCAGTCTAGGAAGCCCTCCGCCCAACGATGGTATGTCATCACTCTATTGGCTCAGGAATACTTCATATAATTAATCTATGGAATATAAAATATAATTACATTAAAATTTGCTTTTTCTTTTCTGGTGAAATAGATATTTTAAAGTCAGATATATATATATATATATATATATATATATATATATATATATATATATATATATATATATATATAGGGGGAAGAGGCTATAGTAGTTCCAACGAAAGAAAAGTGTATAATAAAAAAGAAGAGAGAAACCGCTGTAATGTGGATTTTTTGAAAAAATATATTATGCTTCATTTTCCATAATTTTGCTACACGGATTTCCGGTCTCGTGACCTTCATCAGACAAAGAGTTTCATATTTTCACTTTCAAAAAGAATTAATTTTTCTTATGTCTTTCGATGTCAAATATTCTCGATATTAGACATTCTCTTTCGTGTGTGTTAGTGACCCAAATGTCTTTCTTGAAAACTGGCAGTGAAAGAATTCTGCGTGAAGGGTAATAAAACAATTAAGACTGGTCCGAGAAAGGGTGAGAAAGATATCTATATTCTTATCTTTTAGATATATATATATATATGTGTGTGTGTGTGTGTATATACCCTTGTGCAAATTAATTCAAACCGAACGAATAATTCCGTTATTAATTTTTTGGTGTTTTTCCAATGAAACATGACCCAGAGAGAGAGAGAGAGAAAGAGAGAGTGAATTAATACAAGTAAAAGGTTTGTCACTTAGCATCTCGACTGCGGAGATTCGTAGATGGA